ACAAAACCAACCCAACAAAGTGTGAGGGAGCCGTACTGTTCACACTACAGTGGGATTTGATTGTTCAAAGAAGATCTGACTGGCTTCCCTTACAAGCTCCTTGGAGCAGAGCCTGGTATCCCAAAAAAACCACTTTTCTGAATTATTTGTAAATAGTGTATTGCAAAATTAGTTATTCTGTTGCATGATTTCCCCTTTATTTAGTTTGCACTGTAACTTCTCATATACTTAATCGCTTTTACATTCTAATTAATTTTTATAGTATGGAAAGAAAATTCTATTGCAAATCTCAACTATCAGGAATTCTTAGTTGACGAATTCATTTATAAACAAAAATATATGAAATCTTCACAAGCATAAGCAAAGTTCATTGAAATTCTACCAATATGAACTTCTGTAATCCAAAAAATTGGATCTTCAATAAAATGATTCCAAACAAGAAAATGAAGAGCATCAGTGGAAAAGAAATGGATGTGGGCCACTCTAAACATCATTCTTTTAGTTTGCGTCTTTATGGGGGGGGGAAGGGAATACATTCCCCCCCCCCAAAAACCCCCAAACCCCTGAAGTGGCCTCCCAAAAATCTGAGTGGCATAAACCCTACATCCTAGCAGAAGAAATCTACTACTTATGCTAAAAATATGTTTTAATGAAGTACATTTCACCACACTAAGTAGTTATATAAAGTATTCATTGTTATTACTTGTTAAACATTAATAACATTATGTTCTCAAAATACAGAATAGTACATAACATATAAAAATATACACAGCAGTAGTTCACAAAACAAAGGAATGTTAATTTTCTGGGTTTTTGTTTCCACCTATACCATGGAATAGCCAGCACACCTCACAACTCACCAGACCAAGAGCTCAGCTGTACCAGCCAACACAACATGTATCCTATTCTACATTCAAAAAACTCAAAACTCTACCGTACTCTAAAAGCTATCAATGTTGTCCTTGTACTGAGCAGGCCATACTGAACAAATAATAAATCCCTCAGTTCTAGGAAGTGTTGGATTTACAGCACGTATACAAAAATGTGCTTATGCTCTGCATGCATACAGGTTCATCCCTCTCTACTCCAAAGAAGCCCTTGGGAGCATACTTTAAAACAAATGGTGGATTGTATACAGTCTGTGGGCTATGGTATGGTCATCCATCTACAAAGCAAGTTTGAACTGTTCACAGCACCCATCTCTATCAGTCTGAGTGGGAGGAGATGGGCTGGAGCTCTGCTGGAATCTGAAACAGTTGAACAGAAAATGTTCTGGGCTCTCAGTGCCAGGACCCACCACTGAACATACATCACAGATCCATTATACTCTGACAGAAGACACCGCTTGGAACTCAACCTCATGTCATTAATCCTGGTTGTACACCAGGTAGAAGCCATTACAGCTAGGTTATATGTATTTATATTAATTTTTCCTACTACGGATCACTTATTGTTTTCAAAAACTATAGCTCCACTGTGAAAAGACATATCTTCAAGCCTACAAAGTGTTCAAGAACCACCACATGCCCATGTAAGAAAAAAGACTTCTTCTGACATTTATAAGACCGCACAAAAAGCCACAAGAGACTGAAGTACATATTAAATAATGTTGGAGAAGATAAATCTTGTGGGCTGTTGACAGCCTGTGCAGGAGGTCATATAAGAGATCAGATCAATCTTGGGATCCAAGTTTGAACCAGCAACTTTTCTGTGCTATAACCATGAACCCCTGGAAAGTGAGGGGAAGATGATGACAGCAAGATGAAAATGCAGACTATTAATTACAAAGCACATCTCAATACAAGATTGTGTACATACTTTTCTGTGAACACAAGCAGAATTTACTAGGAAGAACAGCATCGTTTCTGCCCACTGGTATCTTTTTTAGTCTTAAGTTCTGCTACAGTTTATGGCAGTGAGCCAACTCAATCTAATTTCTTCCTGTAGTGAAGAATTAATCTAAATTCTACCCGTCAAGTTCACCAGACTGGCTTGCACAGTGCAAGAGCTATTGGGACACAATGCCAAGTGGAGGAAAGAGCTTCTGTATTATTTGGGGACTGATCTGAGATTTACAGATAGCCAGTCAAATCTTGAATTTAACAGGGCATTGAGTAAAGTGTCATTATCAAATACATAATTCCTACATGCCATGGTGTGGTCAGCCTATTATAGCTCTTGCATGGTCTTTTTCAGAACACAGTATACTGGTGACATCAACAGAAGTTTTCTGGAAAGCCTATCTTAGTTGGGATGAAATGAGGAACCAACAGTATCTGGAGTAGGCACAACTTCACAGGGACCTGACAGAAAGCCACAATTTCTAAAAAAGATCCTCTACATACAAAAAAAACTAAGCTGATCAAGAAAGACTTCATCAATTATGGATTAGGTATACCACCTACTGGCCAACTACTAATCCTGAGAACCACTACTCTCAGAGAAATTTGGAGGCTGATTTCCTCCCTGCTTACAATTAACGTTTCTCCTTTCCAGAGGTAATATCCCATATCAGGATTTTGGATAAAGCAGGTCAGAAAAAAAAATACCTAGTGCTATCGTTTTTACAGCAGGAGTAATAGTTTATGTTCTCATTTTAGGACAGGAATATTTTTTCCTGTTAGAGAAGTCTTATATTTGATAAATGTAACCATTCATTATCATCATCAGGTGATCAAGTGATCAGGGCAAGAAATTAACCTGGGTTGGGATTTGGTTTGTGGGGGTTGTTTTTGTGTAGGAAGATACAAGTTTAGAATTAAAACCTCACATTAACAAGATTCAAACTTTCCACCTTAGGCAGCATCACCACAGCTTGAAAGCTGCCTAACAGTAGCACACATCACACAACTTTTTGTGGGGAGTGCAGTTAAGTGGTTTTCCTCAGGAGCCTCCTACTAGAAGATAACAAGAATGAGACAACAGGAAGTTTTCCCCACTTCTTACAAACTGGAATTTAGATTAAACTCTTACTTGCTAAATCCTTTCACAGGCAGGAGGTAAGGAGACATTTAATGAAAAAGAGCTGGCTTAACAGTCTTCATTTTCCCTATTTATCAAAGATACATTTCTGTGTGCAGATGAAAGCAAAATCAAAAAATGCTAACAACATACCGAGGATTCTCAAGATACCATACGTAACTGGAACACATCACGTGTTAGCTTAAACCTTAATAAAATGTAGAACTATGAACATGCACATGGTCAGTTACCGTTGCTCAACAAATACACAGCAATAGGGTCACACATCAGAGCAGTTTTTCCACCCATACAGTTTTTAAGCAATACGTATAAAGGATGAATTATGCTGAAAGAAACCACCTCAGCTGGCTTTCGCCTTATTCATATCCTTTTGATTGAGTGACTATCTGCATAACTTACTCAATAAGCTTAAACACAGACTGCAAGATATTTGTTCTTTTTCTTAGTGTGGCAAAGTAGATTATCAGATTCCAAAACAAACTTTAATTTCTTTAAGCAGACAAATTCCACAAAAGGCAGAATCTGACTATATTGTAAAGAATTTAGAGTTTCTTTCATGTTTTTCTTAAACTTGGCTCAAACAACACTTCAGAATTCTATCATCCATAACGTCACTCCTCTTTAAAAACATTCATTTAAACAACTACTCTGTGATTATTCATTCCAAAGTTAATACACAGCCAAACAACAATACAGACCTTTGTTAAAGTTTTTATGCAAGTTTTATGGCCTTTTTCAGTAAAGTATCAATACATCACAAAATTATTACCTGTACAACAGGAAATATATGAATGAAATCCAGTCCCTGGATCTGATGTGGTTCTAAACGATGAGGACACTTCATTTTTGGTAATACTGACACAATTTTTTCAGTTAAGGCACTATTATAAAACAACAAACACACATATATAAACATCACAATTTTCATTTGTAAATTAGAAATTATTTTTGCAAACAGTAGTTAGAAGGTTCCCTCTAGTGGCTTCCATTGTATACAGCTGTGAAAACCAATCAAACTTTCATTTACAAAACAGCTTTTTTTTTTTTTTTTTACATTGCACTATATATATTATTAGTCTGTGAAGAAGTCATTAAACCCCTCTTGCATGCTCCTAGCTTGTGATTTCATTTATATTACACATATAATTTTAAGATCTACCTGTCTGTTCAGGTGTAATGCCCACGTAAGAAATATCTACAAACACCTTTGCATATTATAACATATGCACGCATGAGGAAACAGTAGCTTTAAAAACAATTACACTAAGTAAAAGATACGCACTCAAAGAAAGCCCAGAATCAAATTTAAGGACGTAAAAATTATTTAGCAGAACTCCCAAAATATATCTTGACATTACTACTGAAACTTCATGAGTTTAAAAATATATTACAGCTAAAAGCTAAATACACAGTTTACTCTGTGTTACAACTTCACATGGTTTTGAAGTAAGTAAAACTGAATTTGCTGACAACCATCTCGTTCTACAGCTCAGGTAAGATCTGGTAAAGTGAAAGGATTACCCTAACACAAGGGATTCGTCTAGAAGAACAACATTCTGCTTCCACCAAATCCCTTATTTTAGGGCTGCTTATGCTGTTAATCACATTTTTAAAGCACGTGTCAGCACTAAGGATGAACACTGTACTGGGAAAACTATTTTTCCATGAAGGAAAAAAATTACCAGGTCCAGTACTGACCTCAGTGAAATTCAGTACTGCCGAAACGGACAACTGGTATTCTGGAAGAACAAAAGGGGAGCAAGAGATACAAGACAAAGTCTGGGAACAGAGCCTGAAAAGTTATACTTCTTCAGAGAAGTGAAAACTTTGACATAATTCTTGTAAGGCAATTTCCACTATGGCACCATACTCATATTCTACAACATGAAAACAGAAGCGCCTCTCAGCACAATCAAAGCAAATGCAATTAAAAAAAGTTATATATCCAATAGATGCAAGATCCTCTCTTAATGTATGTCTCCATGCTTATTTCAACCCAGCAATTAAATAATAGGACACCATCAAAATGTCTTCAGAATAATACTGAGAGAACATAACTTAACTTGTCCTTATCTTGAGAACATCAAAGCAGCACTGAGACACCACCAATATAAACATTACATGGACATCAAAACAGCCTGTGCTTGTGTGACTCTGAACACTTTAGATTTACAAATAAGTAATTGTTGCTGTTTCGGGAGAGGAGCCTGGGTTTTGTTTTGCATCCAGTCAGCTGAAAAGATAACAGAACATTTTCAGAACAACTTAACTATTTCCTATCCTGCTGTTCTTAAGGATAACAAAGATGGCAATTATAAGAACTACCACCATCTTCATTCCTAGTCTCTACTTAATTCTGTGCACTTAACAATGCTTTATGTAGTTGGTTATCTATGATGATTTGGGCATTGCCAAATTTAATGGCAATAACCCAAAATCTTTATTTTTAAATGTGTTACAGTCTTTCTGATGCTAAATGACTTTCAAGAAAACAGCACAGAAAGACGTTCAACTACATTGAGCAAACAAGTCTCTTCATGCAACTGTAGCCTGACAGGCTATTCTTACTTCCTGAAAATTTGAATTATGGCTCTTTTATCACAGAAATGCATAAAGAAATCATGTAGTTTAGAATGTATTCCCTTTCTCAGCATAAACAATATTTAGAACCTCCCTAATACAGGAATTAGCTGGTTTATGAGCAAATTCCATCCATAAGAAATGAATCAAACCAAAATGGTTTTGTTGGGTCACTATCAGGAAGGAACTCCTTCTCCTCAGTATAGGGCAGATAACTGTTTCAGCAACAGTGTCATGCTTTAAATACTGTATTACGATGCCTACAATTCCAACCCAGAACCATAAAGGAGAATCAGAGGTTATCTACACAGCAAAACTGCAGACATAGAGAACTCAAGGAAGGTGCTCTAACATTGCACTCCAGTTCCCAGCAGCATGGTCTCCCTCTGCCCTTTGTTTTGGCCTCTGCACCACCCTCTTGTGCCAGCACAAGCATCTGTGCAGCTGCACAGAGAACTGGATCCAGGAACTGATTCATGTTAAAACTATTTTCCTTCCCCCCCGCTTTCTTTTTTGGTAGGTTTTAATCTGGATCAGTTCCCAATCCAGTTCAATGTGGAGCCACATAAATGCTTTCACTGCTTAGTAGGAATACAAGAACATGGCAGCCCAGAGGGGGATAGCACTGTCTTTTTTGGAATAAGCTTCTTTCTAGTTTTAGATTTTGTGGAACTACAGTCTGAAAAACCCAGAAAACAGTGCAATGTTTTGCAAACAGGTGGTCTTGACAAGCAGGAAACTTGGACTATAAATCCTTTTTATAACGAAGCAATCATCAGGTAACTTCCCCTGGCTGCTGCTTCTTTTCCAAGAACAAAAAAATACCACACTTGCCATTTAATCAACTTACATTTTTTGACCAATAGTAGAGTTTTCCTGAAACAATAAATCAACATCAATATCAAAGCTGCAAGTAGTGATACACCATGTCATGCCGCCCACCACCTAGAAAAGGAGCAACAGCAGTGTTAGTTCCATTTTAATTTGAAGAGGTAAAACAAAATAAGTCTTAAAGGCTTTATTCTAGAAACTACAGCTTAGTATTTTCTCCCTCCTCAATATTTTTATATAGAGACTGAAATACGTACAGATAGAATACATACATCAACTTCTATATACAATACACATATAAAAGAAAACAGAAAAAACCAGAGCAGTTCACGACATTTGAAATTCCCCTCAGCTCTCGGATGAAAAAAAAATAGATAAAACACAACAGTATGTTAAATGTCATGATCTTTAAAAAATGACCATATCAAAATTTTATCAAGGATTATAATTTCTGTATACATGTATTTACCTTTATACATACCTTTGCTATAATTATTCTTTGCTTGCTGACACATGTAACACCAAATGCTCAGCACAGTATCAACATAGTAATAGAGATTTCTACAGAGCTGGGGATTTCCATTTCAGGCCCTATTCCTACAAATACTTAGGCATATTTAAACTCCTGAGCCATTTCATCAACTTTACAGAAATTAACGTAACTATTTAAAGACAACCTTGCATAAACATATGCAAGATGACCTAAAAATATGCAAAGGCAAAGAAGAGAAAAAAAGGGATTAAAACATGGAATTACTTACCAACATCACACAGCAAATTAGTTGCGTACAATTATGGACAAGGTTTTGTAACACATTACCCCTCTCACATTCCCGTCTGAAACAGTTAATCAGTATCCCGTTTATACCAGCAGCTAGATCGTTTTCTATAGCAATGCCCATTTTTGTAAAGGTTGCGCATTGTCATGAAATAGTAACTGAGCAATTGTTTTTAGGCAAGTATAAACCTGATGCATCCATTTCTACACATAAATGCAACAATATTACATCCTACTGCGGTCTCCTTGAAACTACTTTGTGTCTGTGTGCACAGCCTCCTGAGCAGCTAAGGTCAGTACCGCCAAGCAGCTTGAAGAAACTAAAATTGTATTGCAAAGTAAGCTGCACTGTGATCAAAGAAACAGCAGAAAATAGAAGAGTCCATTTCAAAGCTGCCATAGTTCTGTGTTTTCAAACCTTGGTTCAGGAATTTCTCACAGAGTCAGCACTAAAACAATTCACAAGTCTCTTTTCAACCTGAACTTTGCTCACTGTCAGTATCACATACTTCCTGCCTAGGACAATGAAAGGTTAACATACGTGACATTCTGAAGATATGTAAAAACAGCCCCAAAAAAGTCTCACCAGGCTAAGTGTTCCATTCTTACACAGACCCTCTCAAGACAAATATTTACTCATTTCTCATTAATGAATACTTCTATTTAAAATTACAATGCTATCTCCAAGTATGAAATCATTCTAGCTATTCTACCTGGCATTGAGAGAGGGGTAAATTTCCCCATACATGACTAACTTAGGCCATAACACCCACAAAAAAGCACACCAGCAATTAGCTTGCATCCAATTGCCTCCTTTAAAACAGGCCTTGCTGCACAAAATAATTTTTCAAGACTGAGTAGGTCCTGTCTGTCTGAAACTGGGTCATTTGCAGAATTATTTACACAGGAAAGCCTCAGTGTTCCAAGTATCTCTTTTTTTTTTTTAATCACCTAGAACTGCTAAACTAATTTGCAAAAATTATGCAATCCTCATACACTTAAAAAAGGTTTTTAAAAATACTGCATTGGTCTCACCTTGTCGAAGGGTGATAATCCTTTGATTCTTGCTCGAAAATACCCAGCAGCCACCAACAGTTCCAAAATTTCAGTCAACTTGATGTTTTGTTCTTCATCTTCTCTTGTTTCAACCTGACAAACGAACAACACAACACTAATTCAGTGTTTCTCTTTCATTCTTCAAATGAATGTTTTCCAAACTTTATTTTAACATAGACCACACAACAGGGAAACCCTTGACTTCCATTAGCAACTTGGTTGTTAATCTGAAAGACATTAAAGAAATAGGGAACGCAGTTCTACATGGATTTAACATCACATCTTTTTCACCCAGTTAAATACTTTAATCTCCTTTTGCTGTTCAAGCTCCTGGTCCACTGCTTGCCTCCAGCTCAACAGATTGCTCCTATTGCCATAAGACAGTTAATTTATTTTCCATTTTGCACATTTCTTTCAATTTCAAAGTTCACAAAATTGTACAGCTCACATTAACACTTTCATAATCTTTTTACAAAAACAGGAGGAGAAATTCACGTGGAATTCCACTTTTTGGGTAATGCAATTTTACGCAAACTCCAAGTACAGCAGTAACAAAAAGTAAACTCCAACGGGCAGCGTGGATAGTTCCAGTGCTCCAAAGCCTCATCAGCACAGCACCCTTGTAAAAGCACTTTTGTCCCTCTGTGACAGGATGAAACCCCACAGCTCCAAGAATACATGCAATTTACTAGAGGCAGAGAGCACCCCACCATCTCAGACCCAGGCCAGAGAGATGGCTAACAGAGCTTTAGGTCCCCCTCAGGGCTGCAGGGACCGGCCATTCGCACCCTCCTCTTCCCCAAAATCTTTTCGACTGCCTTCTCCTCTCCCTCCCCCGGAACCCAAGGAAACCTGAAAAGCCTCGCAAGCGTGGGGACAGGGAAACGTAATGGTGCACAGAAGGTGACCTACACGGTCGCTGCCTGCAGCCCTACAGGGCCTCCCCCCGGAGCGGGGCGGAGAGGGGCCCGGCTCCCCGCGCCCCGAGAGACCCCACCTCACGGGG